TCGCGCATGTCAACTTGAATCTTCAAAAACAGCTCCACTCTGCGAAAAATTTGAGCTAAATTTCAAGCCCTGCTTTTTTGCCTTTTTGCCCAGTTCTTTTGGAGATCTTTTCAGCTGATTTGAAGCTAACATCTGATAGCAGAAATGAGAAAGATCAATGCATAAGTGAACGCCAAAGTGTATGGAATATCCCGTTTAGAGTATACAAAAACAAACTGTTGGTTTCTTTAATGTGAAAGCGAGTCACCCACCTCTTCAATATAGTGAACGTTCCAGTCACACTTGGAATATTTGTGCACTATAAATCCTCTTCAGTGGCTTTGTGGATTGTCACTCTAAATGAAGAAACATGAGTAAAGTCAGTAAATGAGTAAAGTGTAAGGGTTTTTTCACTATTTTTCAACGAAGGTTGTGCAATAGTGAAATTAGCGAAGTGAAGAAGTTGATGTATCCGTGTACAAGTGCTGCAGCGTTTAAGGGGAATTAGGCTGTAACTACGTACCGACACTACGCTTGCGGGAGAAGGTAGACCGCTCGCTTGCTATTAGGGTAATTCTTTTGATTTTTGATTTTTTGATTAATATTTTGCAGCTTATCACATACCAGTGAACAAACGAACAACATACAAGTGAACAAACGCCAATTTGAATAGGTTTTAAGCTTTTCATTGTTTCGGTTGCCGCCATAAGAAGGATTAACACGGTGGGCTACATCTTTGCGCAAAAATCTTGTCAAATGCTCGGGTCAAACCTCGGCAAATTGACCAATTTCGCAACCCACTCTTTTTTGGCGCCGTTTATGTAAATTAGTAGACTTTTGATCGCGTTTTTGAGCTCAAGTCCATGGCTTGCACATTTACTTGCCAGATACTTGGCAGATATTTTGTATGGTTTTTGCACTCAACGAGTACTCAAGAAGCAGCCGACTGCAGCGCTGATCAGCGAAGCAGCTCTGCCTTCGCTGCTCGTTGAGTTTGTCCATACCTAAGCAGCCAGGTATGTATCAAGCCTTATAGACGCGTCCTCGGGATGGGCATGTGGCTGGCCGGCAGATGCTCGCCATAACTGTCTGAGCGCACTTACCTGCTTATTGTTGCTGGCCACTGCTATTGACCGCCCTCACGCCGCAATAACACTAAATGAGAATGACTCGCACATAGAAATGATGGCAAGTTAGTCTAACATGTTAATGGTACGCCGCCCATCCGCTTCAGGGGATGGGCCGCCGCTGGTCAAATCAAGGTCCGCCGCTCGCACGCTCGGTAGCGAGGGCACGCCGCTCGTCCGCAAGAAAGCCACGCCCACAAATCAAAGCCCGCCGCTCGCCCGGAAAGCCATTAAAGGCAGTGTCCGGGCAAAAACTCGATTTTGAGATTTTGTGCTTATACGGGCCTTTTCGCCATGCTGCATCCGAAAATCCACATTGGAAAGCGCGAAAACGGCGAAAAAGGGCTCTAACACAGGAGGGAAATCAGCAGGTGGGCGGGGCTTTCCCCAGTGCGGTTTCACGCTCCCAGCTCCCGGAGCGATTTTCTCGATTCCGCTAGCCGTATTAACATCGCTACCGGTCAAGTGCGAATGATTGACTTGAAACTGGAAGCGAGAAGGTCGCTGCGGAAGCCGGGAACGTGAATTCGCAGTGGGGAGGACCCCGCCCACCTGCTGATTTCCCTCCTATGTTAGAGCCCTTTTCGCCGTTTTCGCGCTTTCCAATGTGGATTTTCGGATTCAGCATGGCGAATAGGCCCATATAAGCACAATATCTCAGAATCGAGTTTTTGCCCGGACACTGCCTTTAAGGTCCGCCGCTCGCCCGAGTTATTGTCTGAGTTCTTCCACCGGATATTCTTACGGATAGCAATTCCATTTCTTTTTGTCCTCATTTACAGTGGGCTGTCTCCAGCAGAACTCCCGGCTATGATAATGTTTGTGAAGGAGAGGGGTTTACTACAAACTTGCTGCAGTGGGAGAAGCTGTCTAATCCACAATCTCCTATCCATGTTCTAGAAGAGCAAGATGATGTAAACTTTATGATTACGACGCCAATTCAGGGGAGAAGAGTGGAGCAACAACAACTTATTACTATCCTACAATCCCAGAGCTTTTCAAGGTTATAATCCTTCTCTGGTTGCTAAAGAGGACAGCGACGAACGAGAAGAGATGCTGACATTCAAGATTCAGATACCCGGAAGGAACTCTTGACGAAGTGTACACTGCAGCTGGAGATCCAAAGCAAAGCTTTTCTGCTGAGGACGCCCCCGAGATTGACAAGAGCGCATTGTTACGCTTTAACCTGGGAAAGGGTTACCATGATTTTGTGTCAACTTCTTTGCAAGATGCCGCGGAGAGGTTTTACAATGATGTCAAAGATCAACTGCTTGCGCGAATGGGCGAAACAAGAGCGCATGAGGTCCACGCGAACGACTTAATGGCGCTGGAAAAATCTACAATCATGGACGTAGTGGATTTCGATGGAGACTTTGACACGGGATTCGATGATTACTGCCATCAGGAGCTAATTACTTTAACAGAGGCTGCCCGAGCTACATTGACCCGGTCTCAAATGCGCTCGATCCACAAGAGCGCCATCGTTTCATTGACGCCTCAATTTCCGCTCTCGAAAGATACTGCAAAATCATTCAAAATCTAAGATCCCCTATGATACGATTCTTCAACACCATACCAAAAACGGCTAAAACATGCTTGCAATGGAAGATATGCAACAAAGATATGCAACAAAGCGCATCTTTCTATCAGATGCTTCTCGCTAATTACGATTCGTTACAGATACCGGGCGAAGTTGTACAGTTACTAAATCATTATTCGCTTTGAATGCAACTTAGGCATGATGTTTTGGGCAATTAGATGTGCGTTAGTTATTAGTTTTTATTCAAACTACCTCTTTTACGACCCCTCCCTCCCACCGTAGGCCCCCTTTACGATCCCCCGTTGCGACATCTCATCACACGCTTGACCCTGATTGGGACAGACTGTAAACGACTGTAGCCATACCTTCAATAGTCTAGAGACAGGGCGTCAAAAGTGAAGGTTGTTTGAACATCTGACGTCACAAATAGTAAAGGTTGTTTAAAGATGATTAGAGAAGAGAAAATGACATAAAACAGATATAAAAAGCAAAAGAACTGCTGAAAACCGAATGAAAACGCTGCAATGAGGCTTGAAATCTTTCATCTGGCGGCTTTACAAAGTGCAGGTTTTCGCTTTAGGACCAGCAATTCGCAACACTGGGTTTGGAGTTTTGATGCGTCTATTGAATTTCTACCCTGCATTGACGTTCCTGTTTCCTGGGACGTTGTCTGGATTGTTGCGCTTATTGTTCTGAGCAACAATCGCCCAAGCTGGAAAAAATCGATGCGAAAGCACGGAAACAAAACGAGGTAAAGAAAAACGCACTTTTTACGATTTTTCGCAAAAAATTCCACAATAATCGAAGAATAAAGGCTGGGTGGTTGTCTGCATTATGAACAGAAGCAAGATCTATAGGATGTACGAAAAAACCTCGTGAAAACGCTTAAACTAGGAGGAGAACAAGAGATTTTCGAAAACAAGGTTTTTGCCGGATTTCTCGATCAAATCAAAAAATTTGGTTCTGGGACGTCGTCAGCGTGAAAATAGAGATCAAGAGCTTCAAGATGATATATAGCTTGCTAAAATTGGGTTCGAAACAGCGAAGAAAAGGATACCAGAGCCAAATGCCCCGCGCCCCGAGTTTGGGATAGCGAGGTAGCGCTCAGCGCACGGAGAAGCAGAGGAGCAGCGAAGACAGACCAGAGCGACGGGGCATTTGGCTCTGGTCGTAGATCTTTGCGGGGTCTCGACGAAACCCCGCAACATTATATAGCGTTCTGATCGTCTTGACATGTCGAGGAGAACTGACGTCCCAAGCATTCAAAATCACTCATTAACGAAATAGACCAGCGTTTTCGTGCGCGACTTTCTGCGCAAGATTCAAGCGCAGTTTTTCGTTTTTATTTACTCCAATAGCTTTCCTAAATTTCTGAATCTCAATTTTGTTCAAATGAGAGGTTAACCTAGAAATTTTGTTCTGAATTCTGGCGAAAACCCCACAGGAACATTTTTTCAAAGGTAAAAAAGGCTATGAAAACGCAAATTCTCGGTTTCGCTGAGATAAGCTAAAGATATTATTCCCTATATTTGCTTCATCTACATTCGTTCCGATACAATCAGGATAATAACAGAAGTCATCCGGGGTGAAGCCCCGGCAAGCAACCATTGTCGCGGCTCGCGCGATGCAAGCCACTCCTCGATTCAGGAGCCGGGAGCACTGCAAGCCGCTGGATCGGGCGCGCTATTGCTTTCGTGCCCGGACCTCTCCTTGCTTGGGCGCGTTGCCAAGTCGAGGGCTATATAAGGCCGCGCAGCGCGCGCCATATGCCTCATTGTTTCGGTGACCTCGTTTTCAAATTCGTTTGATTTCTCACGTATTCTTATTGATCGTGCTTGGCAGCACCCCAGCAAGCTCCCGTGGATGAAGTTCTTGCGAGCAGAGTAATTGTTGGAGCTTTTGGATTATGCCGCGCTAACGCGCGAGGAAAGTTTGGAGCTTGTTTCAAGTTTGTACCGGGAGTGGAGAGGGCTCGTACCTGTCCTACGCGGGGGCGAGTAAGCGGTCGACCCTCGGGATTCCCTGACATCGTATTCAGATTTAACTTGGTGATGATCGGCGGCTTGGGACGAGGCGGACTCGTCCCGCATTTCTTCTTCTCCTTTCGTAGTTTAGATTTTCGTAGTATAGATCTTTTGTAGTGTAGTGTTTGTTATTTAGATAAATTTAAGTAATCTAGTCGCGCTTTTCTTGTCATGGTTTATTTCCACCCAGCGGGGTATTTGTCGGTCGCGCCGGAGTAGCTAACCGGCGCTAGGGTGTGCAGGAGTAGGAGCAGGATTGTGTTGGCAGTCGAGCGAGCAAGGGGGTGCTGAGCCCACCGAGCCGCAACATGGTGCATCGACGCCGAGCGCATGGACGATGGAGTACTCCGCCCGCGCATGGAATGGAACGGACGCGCAGATCGAGGACGAGCTGGACAACATCAGGACGCCGTTGTGGGAACGCGCCATCCCATCTTCCATGCGTGCGTAACGGACCTGAGTCTACCACGCTCAGCACAATAAGAAGATCAGCAACGAGGAGACCAAGGACGACAGTACCGAGACGACAGGAATGGTAGCCAGGAGCATGGAGATCGAACGCGGAGTGGATAGAAGGCAAGATGGTGGCAGCTCTTGCCAACTTGAAGCCCCAGCTAGCAGCGTTCACTTCATGCAGTGATTGGTGCTCGCACTGGTTTTTGAGGAGCTACCCAGGTGACGGGCCGGTGTCATCCCCGGCGGGCTCGACCACTGGAACCCTAGTGGTTACGTGCGCACACCTGTCGAGTCGTGGCCCGAAGCTGGTCGACGCCTTAAGATCTCGGACAGTTTCGGTGAGCTGTTGGGAGCGCTATGGCACCGTCCTTCCTAACATCTAGGATCCTGGACCACACCGGGGGAAATCGCTCTAGGGCGAGAGCATATGGGCACCCCCGGAGGGAGTACTAGAGGTTTTCATTCCTTGGCATTTCCACTTTCCCCACTTTTTTCTTTGTAATCATCCCCCACGTTTCATAGGGCACCTCCAAAAGAGGGGAGTTTTGATGGCCAAGAGTTGGAGTCCAAGCGTGGGGCTGGTATACGATGCATGGATCGTTCCTGCCAGTCTTTACGGTGGGCCTGGCCACCAGAACTATGCCCATAACCTCTAGTACAGGCGGCGAGAAGTCGTGCATAGACGGCAATGGAAGGCATGGCTCTCGAAGGGTGGTTCAGGAAGCCCACGGGTTTTTCCCGTCCTATTCGCCGATAGGAGCCCTGGGTTAGCTACCGATTGGCTTCGGACAAGTCATCATTTCTCCGCCTTGTTACTAGCGCATCTACCATCAGCGCGTCGGCCTTAGTAACATCCAGTCGCGATCCTCAGTTCATTCTTAGTCGTAAGAAATTACTGTTTTTGAAAGTTTCTCTCCTTGATCGTGCTGCCGCGCATTTGCGTGCCCAGAGTGAGAAGGCCGAAGAGTTTGCCCGTCAACATCCTGACGAGCAGGGCGAATTCCCCTACCTCCAACAGATTCAGAGCCACTGGGACGCTAGTGAACTGGATCAACTTTTGGAGGAGGCCGATATTCTCCGTCTACGTCTCGATGTTGCGATCAAACTCTTGCCGAGCTCAGAGGCCTTGTATTCTTTTCATGCTTCGACTGTTCCTCCCTCTTTTTCATCTGTTACTTTTTCACCGCACCCGGCCCAAGACCCTAGTTCGACCGATCAGCAGCCCGCGCAGGATGTGAGAGCGGAAATCCGGAGCCACTCTTCATCCCACGATCAGGATCGTCCATCAGAACCTGTCGCTGCCGCGCCAGCTGATACCTTACTACCAGCACGCGCATCTAGCGCCTCCCAAGGATTCGGCATCCCCTCAGACAACCCCCCTTCGAACCCCCCAACTTTTGCTAATCCCCCTGCAACATCTGGTCCCCAGTCGAATCCTCTTTTGCCATTGTCCTCATCCCCCAATGTCAATTTGCAGTCTTCTCTGGAACAGTCGCTGAAGCTACCAGCCTTTGAGATCCCCACCTTTCATGGCGAGATCGATAGCTTCTTCGAGTTCTGGGACCTTTTTTCAACGGCTGTACACAATAACACCAACGTGCCAGTGCCAATCAAGTTTATGTACTTGAAGTCCCACGTGCGAGGACCTGCTGCGAACATCATCGCCGGCTTTCAATCTACGGCAGAGAATTACGACCAGGCAGTACGTATTTTGACGAACACTTATGGTCGACCGGAGATCCTTCGTAATAAGCTCTGGGACAAGCTGATGCATCTTCCATCAGCTTCGGAGTCGCCGTTGTCACAACGCGCGACACTGTGTGCTATCAGAGCCACATGGACCCAGCTGCAACATCTAAAAGAGGACTCCAGTGCGATCGGCACGATTAAGATCATTCGTGCGAAATTTCCCCGGCGTACACGCGAGAGAATAGGTGAATTTAAGAACAAAGGAGACCCGATGTGGACAGTCGATGAGTTGCTTAACACGCTGGATACCATCATTGATCGACTTGAAAACGTAGAAGATGCGGACCCGTCGGATTCTCACTCTTATAACACTCAGTCTGCGATTCGCCATTCTCCTTCACCACCTAGACATCAAGGCGCGAGCCGAACAAGTGAAGCGTTCACGCGCTATCGTTCACCATCGTATTCTAGATGTTCGTCTGTGTCGCGCACTCCGTCTCCCCGCGGTAGAGAGGATAGATCGTCTACACCATATCATTCTAGGCGTACCTCCAATACTTCTGGCAGATCGCGATACGAAAGGTTCCTCGAGTCGCAGTGTCTCTTTTGTCACGATTTTGGACATCCGTTAGATCGCTGTAGAACCGTACCCACTGTCAGACAACGTAGAGTGTTTGACACTCGTAATAGGCTTTGCTGGCTTTGTCTACACCCGAATCATACCTACCTCGATTGTGACGCTCCATTCTGTTCATACTGTGGCAACATACATCATAAGGCACTCTGTCTCGAACTTTCTTCTTTGCCTCGATCACCATCCCCGCAGAGCAGAAGGAACTTCTATCAAGACTTGCACCGATCTCGATCGCCTAGACGCGTGCAATTTGGTCAGGAAGTTGACGGATCCCCATCTCGTACGGATACTCCTTACCCACGTGCATCTTCGCGCGAGTATCAGTCGAGATCACCACCTTCGTCGAGACGACAGCATTCTGTTCCATCATCTAGACGTGCTTCACCAGCGCGCAGATCGTGTAGTCCTACTACGGCAGTAAGTAATAGTTGCATTTTTAATGCTTCTTACGACACCATGGACGAACGGATAGACGCACTGATTGACTTTAAACGCCCCAGGCGCGCATTCGCAGTCATCGTGCATATCAATCCGTTACGAGAAGTCAACTTCAAGAAAGCCCCGTCTTATGGTAGTCCAAGTAACAACTACAAACACTAGGACCAACATGAGTGAACAGCTTACTGTGTTTTTAGATAGCGGTTCACAATATAGTTTCATCCGTACTGCTGTAGCTGAACGTCTAGGCTTGTCGTTTCGGAATACCAGAACGGTCACGACTCTGACGCTTGGAGGACACCACCTTACTGAATAATCGTCAGAAGTCTTGCTTACACTCTGGGATCAGTGCAATCTTCCGATGAAACTCGAGCTATGGACGCGCGAGACGATTTTGACACTACCAGGAAATAACGACAATACCACCGTCGATTCTGGAAATAGAGTGGAAGTTGATGTGCTTATCGGAATCGATAACTATTGGCGTGTTGTGGACTTGCGCAGAAGCGAGGAACTTCCATCAGGACTCATCCTGTCGCACACTAGATTTGGACCAGTTATGTCTGGTTTACAACGCCTAGTTGTTCCCAGTAGTCCTGTAGCCGTCATCGAACACTCGAATGAAAACACACAAGGAAGTGAGCGACACGTATTTAGCGCTTGTGGTCCCGATATACTTAGACCGAGCGGATATACGCGCCATCGTCTTGCATATCAGGACATACGTTTCACTTTCGGCAAAGATACTTCACCCGATGGCAACGTAACATCAGCCAAGATCCAGATAGCCAAGGAACGGGCAACGGAACGTTCAGCTGAACATCTGGTACCCTCGGAGATAGTGTCAGATGACAAGGTCAATACGCAGCGAGCCTACGAGCAGGATCCTGCAGAGGATACTCCTTGTCAAACATCCAGAGTGTGAACGCAATGGTAAATTAGGTACATGTAGTCTATTTCTCTTCCTTTTTATCATCTATATCTCTTCTTTTATTTCTCTTGCACCCTCCATCTACTGATGAGCGCAGGCGCGCTATGATGATTTTTCGCCTAATTCCATCTTTAGCCGGCCTTTGGGTCTTGACGCGAATCCTTCATCAGGAGCACTTGATCGTTGATTTAGCCAATACATCGGCACTCGCGCATAGCGGATTCATCGATCGCCTTGTGTTCATCATAGAATTTCATTTCCAAACATTTTTTACAGTTTTTTAGTAATTCAGTAGGCTTATTTGTTGTATTTTTATATGTGTACCATTTTACCTTATGCGCTGTATCTTCTCATTTAGGTTTTGCTCACTGTTTCTTGTGCCCATCTGTCAGTATCTTCTTCAATAAATTCAGCTGTCAAACTGGAACGAGCGATTACTCGGACTAGAGACTTCAACGAGGGAACAATCCAAGTTAGAAACACGGCAAAATTTCTGTTTGTTTTGCTTACATCTATTGCGCACCCCCCATTTGTGCCTTTTCCAAAATTAGTGCGCATTTTATTAACTCCTAAATTTTCATTACTTTTTCGCTTCGTCCAAATTTCCTAAACCTTCTGTTTTTTTCAGACTTTCTTTCTTGCGTTGAGCCCTCTACTTTTATTATATCTGTTCAACCCACTAGCGCAAATACCAGCCGCGCTTATACATGTTTGTACCGCATTGCCGCTATACATCATTATGTTTGCTGCTTGCGTATACCAAACCCACGCACAACCGTGCAGTCACTTGTCATTTTCATCCATCTGCAGCGCATAATTTCAGTTCTAACATCAAGTCTGGTTGCGCGCAGCCGCAGTAGCAGTTCGCAGGCACTACGCTCTCCTAACACCTAAGCTCAAGCGTTTTATCGCGCATGCTACTCTTGACATACTTGCTTGCAGCCGCGCTGGTCTGCGCAATTGCTGTTCTCAACACACAGACTTTTACGTTTACGCAGGGACAAGTAGAACATTATGCGCGAAACGCAGGGTTGTGTATGTGTGCTTCAGCACTGCCATACAGGCATTTCGGTACATCGCGATTATAATACCCACGCAAGTACATCAGTGCGTTACTTTAGGTTCAACCAATCCTTCCACCTTCAACCTCCTCGCGTCTGCCTAGTTCCGTCGCGCGGGAGGGCGGACTGAAGTCCTCTCAGCAGTCCGTAGTGGCCGGCATTTTTTGACATCTGCTGCAGACGGTCAGATCGAGCGCAATTTTAGGTTGAATGTGCTTCGGATTTGGTTGGACGATTTACATGTTCCCAATGCCATCTGGGAGTTGACGTTGCCGCGCGCTAGAACATCGCGCCTCCTCGCAGCGCGCGCGAATGATTTGTGGAGAGTGAGCTTGTGTGTGTCAGTGGTGAGTGAATGATGGAAAAAGGTTAGTGCGTTTCCACCCTTTTGATCTGTTTGACATCGCAAATCGCTTCTACTTTAGTAATATCTGGTAGAATGGAACGATCATTGGGCAGTCGCGCACATGGTTGGTTGGTATCGTTGCTTGTTGGTTATGGTTGATGGAAATGGTACGATGGTCGATGGTTGTTGGTCACACCTGGCTCGCCGTTCACACCTGTACATAGTCATCATAGTTACTCACTTCGTATATACTCACTTCATAGTTAGTCACGTCTAGTATTAGTTTCATTTTCGTTTCACTTAGTAGTTAGCTTCATTTAACCACCTCAGTTAGTAGTTAGTCTTCTCCGTAGTCTTAGTTCCTATATTTAATCACGTTGAGTTCATATCTAGCCAATTAGTTAATCACTTTTGTAGGATTTAGTTACCCTATTTAATCACGTTCCTTTCATAAGTAGTCACGTCATGTAGTCGCATTTATCCATTTTTGTTCTGTAGTTGTAGTTGTGTATGTATGTTTTTCCGACGGGACGGGTTTTTTCTTCTAAGCTCTTTCTCCCGCGCTCTACCATGCCGCCGATAGAGTCTGTCTTTTTTCTGTCTACCTTCCAAAAATTTTAGGTAGGATGCATCCCCTGGGCCGTCAGTGCTATCACGTAACCAATTTTTCGAACGCTCAAGCCACTGTCTCGGGGGGGAGTGTCGCGGATCGCGCGATGCAAGCCACTCCTCGATTCAGGAGCCGGGAGCACTGCAAGCCGCTGGATCGGGCGCGCTATTGCTTTCGTGCCCGGACCTCTCCTTGCTTGGGCGCGTTGCCAAGTCGAGGGCTATATAAGGCCGCGCAGCGCGCGCCATATGCCTCATTGTTTCGGTGACCTCGTTTTCAAATTCGTTTGATTTCTCACGTATTCTTATTGATCGTGCTTGGCAGCACCCCAGCAAGCTCCCGTGGATGAAGTTCTTGCGAGCAGAGTAATTGTTGGAGCTTTTGGATTATGCCGCGCTAACGCGCGAGGAAAGTTTGGAGCTTGTTTCAAGTTTGTACCGGGAGTGGAGAGGGCTCGTACCTGTCCTACGCGGGGGCGAGTAAGCGGTCGACCCTCGGGATTCCCTGACATCGTATTCAGATTTAACTTGGTGATGATCGGCGGCTTGGGACGAGGCGGACTCGTCCCGCATTTCTTCTTCTCCTTTCGTAGTTTAGATTTTCGTAGTATAGATCTTTTGTAGTGTAGTGTTTGTTATTTAGATAAATTTAAGTAATCTAGTCGCGCTTTTCTTGTCATGGTTTATTTCCACCCAGCGGGGTATTTGTCGGTCGCGCCGGAGTAGCTAACCGGCGCTAGGGTGTGCAGGAGTAGGAGCAGGATTGTGTTGGCAGTCGAGCGAGCAAGGGGTGCTGAGCCCACCGAGCCCCAACAACCATGATCAATCTCCCGTGCTAGGTGCAAATATGCAAAAATTGATGAGTTACTGCACAAAATCGCGAGATTTGTAAGACATAAGCCAATAATAATAATTTCCCTTACTCTCGAGGCGTTCATGAAAGAGTGTGATCACGAAGAAAAGCTGCAGGAAATAAAAGAACCATTTGCTTCTTTTTCCTTCATTATGGACGATCAAGCGTAAGAACTTGCGGGATAGTGGAGTTGGAGATATGAACTTTTCTGTAACTTGATCTAAGGATTCTTAGGATTTAAATTATTATGTGTTTTAGTTGATGTGTAGCAGACTTGCAATACGATAACGCTTTTTAATGATAGTTGAACGAGCTGCTAGGAGCACTAAAAAAAACTGTGCAACAAGTGCATGCATGGAAATATTGCGCTTTGTTAGCATAATTCGCATTCCATGACTGATTAGTTTTACAGTAGTCCACACCAGAGGTGCAGGTAGTACGCTATATAAGGCATAACAAGCAAGGTTCCGCTTATGGACATATAAAGGCGCGCTTTCTAGGAAAGGAAAAAGCGCTAGGAACCCCGAATGAATGCGGGAAATGAAAAGAATGTTCAAACCTGCAAAGTAAATAAATTTACAAACTTTAGTTATTATCACATATGCAACGCAGATCAATCATATACAGGGTGCGTCAAAAGTCTGGTAGCCTAAATTTGCAGTGTTGGATGGCGCGGTTCACCGACCTACCGATCTTCAGTGGCGGGAAGGAAAGCCCGCGCTGACCCCTTCAGCAGGCTATAAATACCGGTGAATAGGGGGGAGCAGGCAGAGCGTGAAGAGAGCGCTCCAGGGAGTTTAAACGAGCCATCGAAGAGAGGTCGACCTCCCCCCTTAGGTAGATAGAAGCTAGAGAACCCTGCTGAGCGGGCCAAATCGGGTCAGAAGGACCCATATTCGTTGTTGAGTGTTCAAGTTGTCCAAGTTGTTCAAGTTATTCTTGTTCATTGTTGCCATAGAGATGAATATCTTTATTCTGACCGTGTCTTTATTGATCGATCCAGTTCAAACCGTCAATACCACTAGACAACCCCCGTTACAGCAGTACTGCAATTACAAAGATACTGATAGTTTTGATTTGAGTTTTATGCCAAATGGTGCTGCAGTCATCCTCTACCAAATACACTTCACTTGGCTGGAAATGGATGCCATATGCTTTTGTAAGATTAGAAATTACCAAACGACTACTTTTGCAGAGCGAAAAAAACCAGAATTTCCAGTATTTACAATTTTTGCTATAGTTAGAGATGCTGTTAACATTCAACAATACTTCATGCACACCATATAGAAGAGGCTTTGCGCTATTGAATCGTAGCTTTGCCTTTGCCTGGAGCTGTTCTTGCATAAACGGAGAATAAAAGTT